AACTTGGTCTAAGATGCTTATAGTTTCCCAGCTGAAACTATGGTTGAGTCTGTCCATGCATTGTGAGATTAAGGGATTTTCATTGTGTCTTCTGACTGCTAGTTGGTGTTCATGGATGTGCTCCACTAGTCTTCTACCTGTCTGTCCTACATAGTGGCTGTTACAGTCCTTACACTGTATGTTGTACATGGCTCCTTTTTTTTCTTCTTGGGCTACTGGATCTTTTGGTTTACTAAAATGTTTTGGAGGGCTTTAGTTGGTTTGTGTGTTACGGTGATGCTGTGTGGTTGTAATAGTCTGTTGGTTGTTTCTGAGATGTTTTTGATGTATGGTAACTAGTCTTCTACCTGTCTGTCCTACATAGTGGCTGTTACAGTCCTTACACTGTATGTTGTACATGGCTCCTTTTTTTTCTTCTTGGGCTACTGGATCTTTTGGTTTACTAAAATGTTTTGGAGGGCTTTAGTTGGTTTGTGTGTTACGGTGATGCTGTGTGGTTGTAATAGTCTGTTGGTTGTTTCTGAGATGTTTTTGATGTATGGTAGTGTTATCCTTCTCATAACTTGGTTGTGCTGTAGTGGGTTAAGTGGTCAGGCACTTTTTGATAAAGTTGTATGGGTATCCATTTTGTTGGAAGATGTTGTATAGGTGGTCTGTTTCCTTTTCCTGGTGTTCTGGGTTGCTGCAGTGTGCTTGTTTTTGTCTGAATAATGTTCTTACACAGCTCCTCTTGTGGGAGGTTGGGTTGTTACTCTGGTAATGGAGCACTTAGTGTGGGTTGTTTTCTGATAGACTTGCAGTTCTAATTTGCCATCATTTCCTCTGTTGATGAGGATATCCAGGAAGGGTAGTGTGTTGTTGTTTTCTTCTTCCTTGGTGAATTTTATTCCTTGGAAGATGTTGTTGATAGTTTCATGTGTCTTCTCTAGTTGTTCCTTTTTTTTATTATGACAAAGGTGTTGTCTACATACTGAATCCATACTTTTGGTTATATACCTGGGAGTGCTATCGTTTCTAGATGCTGCATTACAGTCTCTGCTATGAGTCTTGAGAGTGGTGATCCCATGGGTGTTCCTCTGATTTGTTGGTATATTTGTCCATCAAACTGAAAGTAGGTAGTGATACAGAGGCTGATGAGGTCCAAGAATCTGGGTATTTCGATCTTAGAATATTTGGCTAGGTTGGATGTGTTGTGTAGTACTGTTGCCATAGATTCTTTCACTAGTTCTGGATCTATGGATCTAAAGAGTGCTGTGACATTAAATGAAACCATAATTTCATCTTCTATTTTTAGGTCTTTGATTTTCTGGAGATGCTGCAGTGGGGAGTTGATAGAATATTTGCTCCCCTCTGTGAGGTGTCCAAGCTTTTTTGTCAGTTCTTTCACTATGTTGTATGTTGGAGTCCCTGGTAAAGATACAATTGGTTGGAGCAGTTGTTAGGATATTCTCATGGGAAGAAGAACAAATCGCTTATCTCCAAACAATTGTTTTGACTGCAGAAGTCAGGCCATCTGCATTTGTTTTTCTAGTTTGCACGTATACTGCTATTTACCACCACCTATTGGCGTCTGTATGCTAGTTACCCAAGAGGAGGTGCATAGTGTTAATAAATTGTGGGTGATTATATGTCTCACTGCTTAGTAGGATTTTAGTCATCATGTAATCAGTTTTATAGGTTATGTAGT